GAACAAGGGCCTAGCGTGTGCAAAATTGCAAGAACAAGGGCCTAGCGTGTGCAAAATTGCAAGAACAAGGGCCTAGCGTGTGCAAAATTGCAAAAACTAGGGTCTAGCATGTGCAAAATAGCAAGAACAAGGGACTAGCGTGTGCAAAATTGCAAGAACAAGAGCCTGGCGTGTGCGAAATTGCAAGAACAAGGGCATAGCGTGTGCAAAATTGCAAGAACAAGGGCCTAGCGTGTGCAAAATAGCAAGAACAAGGGCCTAGCGTGTGCAAAATTGCAAGAACAAGGGCCTAGCATGTGCAAAATTGCAAGAACAAGGGCAAGCTCCTGGACAAGGCTAGCTCCGGGACCAGGCAAGCTCCTGACCAGGCACGCTCATAGACCAGGCAAGATCCTAGACCAGGCAAGCTCTTGGACTAGGCACGCTCTTGGACCAGGCAAGCTCTTGGACCAGGCAGGCTTCTAGACCAGGCAAGCTCCTGGACCAAACAAGCTCCTGGACCAGGCAAGCTCGTGGACTAGGCACGCTTTTGGACCCGGCAAGCTCCTGGACCAAGCTCGCTCGTGGACCAGGCAGGCTCCTGGACCAGGCAAGCTCCTAGACCAGGCAAGCTCCTGGACCAGGCAAGCTCATGGACCAGGCACGCTCCTGGACAAGGCAAGCTCCTGGACCAGGCAAGCTCCTGGACCAGGCATGCTCGTGGACCACGCAAGCTCTTAGACCAGGCACGCTATTGGACCAGGCAAGCTCTTGGATGAGGCAGGCTTCAGGACCAACCTAGCTCATGGACGAGGCAAGCTCGTGGACCAGGCAAGCTTCTGGACCAGGCAAGCTCTTGGACCAGGCACGCTCCTGGACCACGCAAGCTCTTGGACCAGGCAAGCTCCTTGACCAGGCAAGCTCTTGGAACATGCAAGCATTTGGACCAGGCACGCTCCTGGACCATGCAAGCTCTTGGACCAGGCAAGCTCCTGGACCAGGCAAGCTCCTGGACCAGGCAAGATCTTGGACCAGGCAAGCTCCTGGACCAGGCACGCTCCTGGACCAAGCAAGCTCCTGGACCAGGCAAGCTCATGGACGAGGCAAGCTCCTGGACCTGGCAAGCTCCTGGACCAGGCAAGCTCCTAGACCAGGCAAGCTCGTGGACCACGCAAGCGCTTGGACCAAGCAAGCTCTTGGACCAGGCAAGCTCCTAGACCAGGCAAGCTCCTGGACCAGGCAAGCTCCTGGACCAGGCAAGCTCATGGACCAGGCAAGCTCCTAGACAAGGCTAGCTCCTTGAACAGGCAAGCTCTTGGACCAGGCACGCTCCTCGACTTGGCAAGCTCCTAGACCAGGCAAGCTCTTGGACTAGGCACGCTCCTAAACCAGGCAAGCTCTTGGACCAGGCAAGCTTTTGGAACAAGCAAGCTCCTGGACCAGGCACACCTCCTGGACCAGGCACCTCCTAGACCAGGCAAGCTCCTGGACCAGGCAAGCTCCTGGACGAGGCAAGTTCCTAGACCAGGCAAGCTCGTGGACCAGGCACGGTCCTGGACCAGGCACGCTCTCAGACCAGGCAAGCTCCTGGACGAGGCAAGCTACTTGACCAGGCAAGCTCTTGGACCAGGCAAGCTCCTGGACGAGGCATGCTCCTGGACCACGCAAGCTCCTGGACCAGGCAAGCTCTTGGACCAGGTAAGTTCCTGGACCAGGCAAGCTTCTGGCCCAAGCGAGCTCTTGGAACAGGCACGCTCGTGGATCAGGCAAGCTCTTGGACCAGGCAAGCTCCTTGACCAGGCAAGCTCGTGGACCAGGCACGCTCCAGGACCAGGCAAGCTCCTAGACCAGGCAAGCTCCTAGACCAGGCAAGCTCCTGGACCAGGCAAGCTCGTGGACCAGGCACGCTCATGGATCAGGCAAGCTCCTGGACCAGGCAAGCTCGTGGACTAGGCAAGCTCCTGGACCAGGCAAGCTTCTGGACGAGGAAAACTTCAGGACCAGGCAAGCTCTTGGACCAGGCACGCTCTTGGACCAAGCAAGATCTTGGACCGGGCAAGCTCCAGGACCAGGCAAGCTCCTCGAACATGCATTCTCCAGGACCGGGCAAGCTCCTGGACCAGGCAAGCTCTTGGACCAGGATAGCTCCTGGACCACGCAAGATCCTGGACCAGGCAAGCTCCTAGACCATGCAAGCTCCTAGACAAGGCAAGCTCCTCGACCAGGCAAGCTCCTAGACCAGGCAAGCTCCAGGACCAGGCAAGCTCCTGGACCACGCAAGCACTTGGACCAGGCAAGCTCTTGGACCAGGCAAGCTCCTGGACCAGGCAAGCTCCTGGAACACGCAAGCTCCTGGACAATGCAAGCTCTTGGACCAGGCACGCTCCTGGACCTGGCAAGCTCTTGGACCAGACAGGCTTCTGGACCAAGCAAGCTCTTGGACCAAGCAAGCTCTTGAACCAGGCAAGCTCCTGGACTAGGCAAGCTCCTGGACCAGGCACTCTCGTGGACCATGAACGCTCCTGGAACCGGCAAGCTCTTGAACCAGGCAGGCTCGTGGACCTGGCAAGCTCCTGGACCAGGCAAGCTCCTGGACCAGGCAAGCTCCTTGACCAGGCAAGCTCCTGGACAAGGCAAGCTCCTGAACCAGGCAAGCTCCTGAACGCAAGCTCTTGGACCAGACAAGCTCCTGGACCACGCAAGCTCCTTGACAAGGCAAGCTATTGGACTAGGCAAGCTCTTGGACCAGGCAGGCTTCTGGACCAAGCAAGCTTTTGGACCAAGCAAGCTCCAGGACCAGGCAAGCTCCTCAAACATGCATTCTCCAGGACCAGGCAAGCTCCTGGACCAGGCAAGCTCTTGGACCAGGATAGCTCCTGGACCACGCAAGATCCTGGACCAGGCACGCTCCTAGACCATGCAAGCTCCTAGACAAGGCAAGCTCCTGGACCAGGCAAGCTCCTAGACCAGGCAAGCTCCAGGACCAGGCAAGCTCCTGGACCACGCAGGCACTTGGACCAGGCAAGCTCTTGGACCAGGCAAGCTCCTGGACCAGGCAAGCTCCTGGAACACGCAAGCTCCTGGACAACGCAAGCTCTTGGACCAAGCACGCTCCTGGACCTGGCAAGCTCTTGGACCAGACAGGCTTCTGGACCAGGCACTCTCGTGGACCATGCACGCTCCTGGAACAGGCAAGCTCTTGAACCAGGCAGGCTCGTGGACCAGGCAAGCTCCTGGACCAGGCAAGCTCCTGGACCAGGCAAGCTCCTTGACCAGGCAAGCTCCTGGACAAGGCAAGCTTTTGAACCAGGCAAGCTCCTGAACGCAAGCTCTTGACCAGACAAGCTCCTGGACCACGCAAGCTCCTTGACAAGGCAAGCTATTGGACTAGGCAAGCTCTTGGACCAGGCAGGCTTCTGGACCAAGCAAGCTTTTGGACCAAGCAAGCTCCTGGACCAGGCAAGCTCCTAGACCACGCAAGCTCCTGGACCAGGCACGCTTGTGGACCATGCACGCTCCTGGACCAGGCAAGCCCTTGGACCAGGCAGGCTCGTAGACCAGGCAAGCTCCTGGACCAGGCAAGCTTCCGGACCAGGCAAGCTCCTGGACCACGTAAGCTCCGGGACCAGGCAAGCTCCTGGACCAGGCTCGCTTGTCGACCAGGCACACTCCTAGTCCAGGCATGCTCTTGGACCAGGCAAGCTCATGGATCAGGCACGCTCCGGGACTAGGCAAGCTCCTAGACCAAGCAAGCTCCTGGACCAGGCAAGCTCTTGCACCAGGAAAGCTCCTAGACCAGGCAAGCTCCTGGACGAGGCAAGCTAACGGACCAAGAAAGCTCTTGGACAAGGCAAGCTCCAGGACCAGGCACGCTCGTGGAACAGGCAAGCTCCTGGACCAGGCAAGCTCCTGGACCAGGATAGCTCCTAGACCAGGCAAGCTCCTGGACCAGGCAAGCTCCTGGACCATGCAAGCTGCTAGACCAGGCAAGCTCCTAGACCAGGCAAGCTTCTGGACCAGGCAAACTCGTGGATCAGGCACGCTCGTGGACCAGGCAAGCTCATGGACCAGGCAAGCTCCTAGACCAGGCAAGCTCCTTGACCAAGCAAGCTCCTAGACCACGTAAGCTCTTGGACGAGGCAAGCTCTTGGACCATGCAAAGCTCCTGGACCAGGCAAGCTCTTGGACCAAGCAAGCTCCTGGACCACGCAAGCTCTTGGACCACGCAAGCTCTTGGACCAGGCATGCTCGTGGACCTGGCAAGCTCTTGGACCTCTGGACCAAGCAAGCTATTGGACCACGCAAGCTCCTTGACCAGGCAAGCTCCTGGACCAGGCAAGCTACTGGACCAGGCAAGCTCTAGAACCAGGAAATCTCCTAGACTAAGCAAGCTCCTGTACCAGGCAAGCTAACGGACCAAGAAAGCTCCTAGACAAGGCAAGCTCCTGGACCAGGAATGCTCGTGGAAGAGGCAAGCTCCTGGACCAGGCAAGCTCCTAGACCAGGCAAGCTCCTGGACCAGGATAGCTCCTGGACCAGGCAAGCTCCTGGACCAGGCCCGCTCCTGGAGCATGCAAGCTCCTAGACCAGGCAAGCTCCTGGACGAGGCAAGCTTCTGGACCAGGCAAACTCCTGGACCTGGCACGCTCCTGGACCAGGCAAGCTCGTGGACCAGGCAAGCTCCTAGACCAGGCAAGCTCCTGGACCAGGCAAGCTCCTGGACCACGCAAGCTGTTGGACCAGGCAAGCTCTTGGTCTAGGCAAGCTCCTGGACCAGGCAAGCTCCTGGACGTGAACGTGAACGTGGACGTGAACGTGAACGTGGACGTGGACGTGCACGTGGACGTAAACATGAACGTGGACGTGAACGTGGACGTGGACGTGGACGTGGTCGTGGACATGGACGTGGACGTGGACGCGGACGTGGACGTGGACGTGGACGTGAACATTGATACGTGGACGTGGACGTGAACGTGGACGTGGACGTGGACATGGTCGTGGACGTGGACGTGGACGTATACATGGTCGTGGACCTTGACGTGGACGTGGTCGTGGTCGTGGACGTGGTCGTGGACGTGGACATGGACGTGGACGTGGACGTGGACGTGGATGTGGACGTGGACATGGACGTGGACGTGGACGTGGACGTGGACTTGGATGTGAACGTGGATGTGGACGTGGACGTGGATGTGGTCGTGGTCGTGGACGTGGATGTGGAGGACGTGGATGTGGAGGACGGGGACGTGAACGTGGAGGACGTGGACGTGGACGTGGACGTGGTTGTGGACGTGGAGGTTGACGTGGACGTGGACGTGGTCGTGGACGTGGAGGACTTGGACGTGGACATGGATGTGGACGTGGACGTGGACGTGGACGTGGACATGGTCGTGGACGTGGACATGGACGTGGACGTGGACATGGACATGGACGTGGACGTGGACGTGGACGTGGACGTGAACGTGGACGTGGACATGGTCGTGGACGTGGACGTGAACGTGGCAAAGACGTGGACATGGACGTGGACGTGAAGGTGGACGTGGACGTGGACATGGACGTGGACGTACACGTGCACGTGGAAGTGGACATGGTCGTGAACGTGGACGTGAACGTGGACGTGGACGTGGACATGGTCGTGGACGTGGACCTGGACAGGAGCTTGCGTGGTCTAGGAGCTTGCCTGATATGGAGCTTGCCTGGTCCAGGAACTTGCCTGGTCCAGGAACGTGCCTGGTCCAGGAGCTTGCCTGGTCCATGAACGTGCCTGGTCCAGGAGCTTGCCTGGTCTACAAACTTGCCTGGTCCAGGAACGTGCCTGGTCCAGGTGCTTGCTTGGTCCAGGAACGTGCCTGGTCAAGGAGCTTGCCTGGTCTAGGAGCTTGCCTGATCTGGAGCTTGCCTGGTCCAAGAGCTTGCCTGGTCCACGAGCCTGCATGGTCCAAGAGCTTGCCTGGTCCAGGAACGTGCCTCGTCCACGAGCGTGCCTGGTCGAGGAGCTTGCCTGGTCCAGGAGATTGTGTGGTCCAAGAGCTTGCCAGGTCCAAGAGCTTGCCTGGTCCAGGAGCTTGCGTGGTCCATGAGCTTGCCTGGTTCAGGAGCTTGCTTGGTCCACAAGCTTGCCTGGTCCAAGAGCTTGCCTCGTCCAGGAGCATGCCTGATCCAAGAGCTTGCGTGGTCCTGGAGCTTGCCTTGTTCGGGAGCGTGCCTGGTCCAGGAGCTTGCCTACTCCAGGAGCTTGCCTTGTCCAGGAGCTTGCCTGGTCCCTGAGCGTGCCTGGTCCACGAGCCTGCCTGGTCCAAGAGCTTGCGTGGTCTAAGAGCGTGCCTAGTCCACGCGCGTGCCTGGTCCAGGAGCTTGCCTGGTCCATGAGCTTGCCTGGTCCAGGAGCTTGCCTGGTCCAGGAGCTTGCTTGATCCAGGAGCATGCCTGGTTCAGGAGCTTGCCTGGTCCAGGAGCTTGCCTGGTCCTAGAGCGTGCCTGGTCCAGGAGCTTGCCTAGTCCAGGAGCTTGCTTGGTCCAGAAGCGTGCATGGTGCAAGAGCTTGCCTGGTCTAGGAGCGTGCCTGGTACAAGAGCATGCGTGGTCCCGGAGCTTGCCTTGTCCAGGAGCTTGCCTGGTCCAGGAGCGTGCCTGGTCTAGGAGCTTGCTTGGTTCAGGAGCGTGCCTCGTCCACGAGCGTGCCTGGTCTAGGAGCTTGCTTGGTTCAGGAGCTTGCCTGGTCTAGGAGCTTGCCTGGTCCAGGAGCGTGCCCGATCAAGGAGTGTGCCTAGTCCAGGAGCTTGCTTTGTCCAGAAGCCTGCCTGATCCAAGAGCTTGCCTGGTCTAGGAGCGTGCCTAGTCCAAGAGCTTGCCTAGTCTAGGAGCTTGCCTGGTCCAGGAGCTTGCCTGGTCCAGGAGCTTGCCTAGTCTAGGAGCGTGCCTGGTTCATGAGCTTGCCTGGTCCAGGAGCTTGCCTGGTCCAAGAGCTTGCGTGGTCCAAGAGCTTGCGTGGTCCTGGAGCTTGCCTGGTCCAGGTGCTTGCCTGGTCTAGGAGCTTGCCTTGTCCAGGAACTTGCGTGGTTCAGGAGCGTGCCTGGTCCACGAGTTTGCCTGGTCCAGAAGCTTGCCTGGTCCAGGAGCTTGCTTGGTCCAAGAGCTTGCCTGGTCCAGGAGCTTGCTTGGTCCAGGAGCTTGTCTGGTCCAGGAGCGTGCCTGGTCCACGAGTTTGCCTGGTCGAGAAGCTTGCCTGGTCCAGGAGCTTGCCTAGTCCAAGAGCTTGCCTGGTCCAGGAGCTTGCCTGGTCCAGAAGCTTGCCTAGTCCACTAGCTTGCCTGGTCCAAGAGCTTGCCTGGTCCAAGAGCTTGCGTGGTCCAAGAGCTTGCCTGGTCCAGGAGCTTGCCTGGTCTCGGGGCTTGCCTATTCCAGGAGCTTGCCTGGTCCAGGAGCGTGCGTGGTCCACGAGTTTGCCTGGTCAAGAAGCTTGGGTGGTCCAGGAGCTTGCCTGGTCCAAGAGTTTGCCTGGTCGAGGAGCTTGCCTGGTCCAGGAGCTTGTTGCGGAGATAACTACTACAACGGGAGCTAGACTACTGGCTAGGCACGTGTGCTCGTGTGATCTCTGCGTTCGTTGGTCCTTAGACGTTTTCCTAGTGCTAACACTGCTTGCTAGTTCACGGGGCAATTTGGCAAGAGTTTCACTAAGAAAAGATCACAACAATGGTACAATGAAGTTGGCAATGCAAGACTACATCAGAGCTAGCATTCAGGTTGGTCAACTGCCAGCACAGCATGGTCGACCGCATTCCACGACTTGGTCGACCGCGCTCCAGCAGAGCAAAGTCGACAGCTTGCCAATGCTTCAGGTCGACGGTGTGCCAGCAGTGCACCCGCTTTGCAGGTGCGTGCAGATGATTGGTATGCCGAGCCTCATCACCTGCACAGCACACACACACCACGTCAGCCTCGGGCTGACGGCTACCTCTGATCTGCCACAAGGACCTCGTGATACCACCACCAAGGTCGGTCTCGCCAGCTTCGCCTGGGCGACCTTCGCACTCCTCCGCAGCACTTCGTTACCCAGGTAACCTGGTCGACCTGGCAACCACATCGACCAGCAACTCCCGTACGTGTCCGTCGACCTCCCAAGTCAACGACCACCTCGTTGTCGACCTCACCGGGTCGACCATGCCCCTCGGTCAACGACCATGTCACTCGACGCCCGACTGTTCGACGCCCGACTGCTCGACGTTCTGACTGCTCGACGTCCTGCTACTCGACGTCGACCCCTCCTTCGTCGATCACCGGTCCAGTCGACCACCCGCAGGTCGACCAGCACATCAGCCGACCACCAAAGTCGGCTTCCCAAGTTGACGTCCTCCGCAGGTCGACGCTTAAGTCGACCTCCCCGAAGTTGGCGCCACCCCGAAGTCGGCGCCCGTGCAGTGGTCCCCGTGCAGGTCGACCTCCTCGTCGACCAGCTCGCCCACTGCTGCAGGTCGGCTGCTCCCCTAACACCCGACCACGATGTCGGCTCCGCCCAAGCGTGGACGGGGCCAACGTACAACTCCCGTTGACACTTGCCTGGTCTAGGAGCGTGCCTGGTCCACGAGTTTGCCTGGTCCAGAAGCTTGCCTAGTCCAGGAGCTTGCCTAGTCCAGGATCGTGCCTGGTCCACGAGCGTGCCTTGTCCAGGAGTTTGCCTGGTCCTGGCGCTTGCGTGGTCCAGGAGCTTGCCAGGCCCAGGAGCGTGCCTGGTCCACGAGCCTGCCTGGTCTAAGAGCTTGCCTGGTCCAGGAGCGTGCCTGGTCCACGAGGGTGCCTGGTCCAGGAGCTTGCTTGGTTCAGGAGCTTGCCTGGTCTAGGAGCTTGCCTGGTCCAGGAGTGTGCCAGGTCCAGGAGCTTGCTTTGTCCAGAAGCCTGCCTAATCCAAGAGCTTGCCTGGTCTAGGAGCGTGCCTAGTCGAAGAGCTTGCCTAGTCTAGGAGCTTGCCTGGTCCATGAGCGTGCCTGGTTCATGAGCTTGCCTGGTCCAGGAGCTTGCCTTTTCTAGGAGGTTGCCTGGTCCAAGAGCTTGCCTGGTCCAGGAGCTTGCCTGGTCCAGGAGCTTGCCTGGTCCAAAAGCTTGCCTGGTCCAAGAGCTTGCGTGGTCCTGGAGCTTGCCTGGTCCAGGAGCTTGCCTCGTCTAGGAGCTTGCCTAGTCCAGGAGCTTGCGTGGTCCAGGAGCGTGCCTGGTCCACGAGTTTGCCTGGTCCAGAAGCTTACCTGGTCCACGAGCTTGCTTGGTCCAAGAGCTTGCCTGGTCCAGGAGCTTGCCTGGTCCAGGAGCTTGTCTGGTCCACGAGTTTGCCTGGTCGAGAAGCTTGCCTGGTCCAGGAGCTTGCCTAGTCCAAGAGCTTGCCTGGTCCAGGATCTTGCCTGGTCCAGGAGCTTGCCTAGTCCACTAGCTTGCCTGGTCTAAGAGCTTGCCTGGTCCAAGAGCTTGCGTGGTCCTGGAGCTTGCCTGGTGCAGGAGCTTGCATGGTCTAGGGGCTTGCCTAGTCCAGGAGCTTGCCTAGTCCAGGAGCATGCCTGGTCCACGAGTTTGCCTGGTCAAGAAGCTTGCCTGGTCCAGGAGCTTGCCTGGTCCAAGAGTTTGCCTGGTCCAGGAGCTTGCCTGGTCCTGGAGCTTGCCTGGTCAAGGAGCGTGCCTGGTCCACAAGTTTGCGTGGTCCAGAAGCTTGCCTAGTCCACGAGCTTGCCTGGTGCAAGAGCTTGCCTGGTCCAAGAGCTTGCTTAGTCCACACGCTTGCCTCGTCCACGAGATTGCATGGTTCAAGAGCTTGCCTGGTCCAAGAGCTTGTGTGGTCCAGGAGCGTGCCTGGTCCAGGAGCGTGCCTGGTCCAGGAGCGTGCCTAGTCTACGAGCGTGCCTGGTCCAGGAGCGTGCCCGGTCCAGGTGGTTGCCTGGTCCACGAGTGTGCCTGATTCACGAGATTGCCTGGTCCAAGAGCTTGCCTGGTCCAAGAGCTTGCGTGGTCCAGGAGCTTGCCTAGTCCAAGAGCTTGCCTAGTCTAAGAGCTTGCCTAGTCCATGAGCTTGCCTAATCCAAGAGCTTGCCTGGTCCACGAGCTTGCTTGGTCCAGGAGCTTGCCTAGTCCACTAGCTTGCCTGGTCTAAGAGCTTGCCTGGTCCAAGAGCTTGCGTGGTCCACGAGCTTGCCTGGGCCAGGAGCATGCCTGGTCTAGGGGCTTGCCTAGTCCAGGAGCTTACCTGGTCCAAGAGCTTGCCTGGTCCAAGAGCTTGCTTAGTCCACAAGCTTGCCTGGTCCACGAGATTGCCTAGTCCAAGAGCTTGCCTGGTCTAGGAGCTTACGTGGTCCAGGAGTGTGCATGGTCCAGTAGCGTGCCTGGTCCAGGAGCGTGCCTGGTCCATGAGCGTGCCTGGTCCAGGAGCGTGCCTGGTCCAGGTGCTTGCCTGGTCTAGGAGCGTGCCTGATCCACGAGCTTGCGTGGTCCAGGACCTTGCCTGGTCTAAGAGCTTGCCTGGTCCAGGAGCGTGCCTGGTCCAGGAGCTTGCCTGATCCAGAAGCTTGCGTGGTCCAGGAGCTTGCCTGGTCTAGGATCTTGCCTGGTCCAGGCAAACTCGTGGACCAGGTACAGTCCTGGACCAGGCAAGCTTCTGGACCAGGCAAGCTCCTGGACCAGGCAAGCTCTTGGACCAGGCAAGCTCCTGGACCAGGCAAGCTCCTCGACCAGGCAAGCTCTTGGACCAGGCAAGCTCCTGGACCAGGCAAGCTCCTGGACTAGGCAAGCTCTTGGACCAGGCAAGCTCCTAGACCAGGCAAGCTCCTCGACCAGGCAAGCTACTCCACAAGGCAAGCTCCTGGACGAGGCAAGCTTGTGGACCATGCACGCTCCTGGACC